ACATCCGACTTTTGATCTCAGCTCAGGCCATGATCTCATAATTTGTGAGTTCGAGCCCCGCATCAGGTTCATCGCCTCTCTCTCTCTGCCCCTTCCCTGCTCAAGCTCTCTCTCTCTCTCAAAATAAAGAAATAAACTTAAAAAAAAAATTAAAATAAGATAAAGTTATAAAATGTGAGTTGATGTAAAGAAAAATGCTAACAGTACTACAGGTAGAATACAGTGCGGGGGAAAAAATCACAAGCCTGGGCAATTGTGGTCTCAGGTCAGGAAAATATTCCTCTAGCCCAAGTCCCAGCTTTGACCATCAACTTGCCGGATGGCTTTGGGCGACGCACTTTTCCTCTGTTTCACCAAATGGAAAATGGGAGCATGACACCAGCGGGAGGCGGCTGGCACCGGGGGAGCACAGGCCCTGCACCCAGGGGTGAGGAGGGAGGCGCCGAAAAGCTGGGGATCTCTCGGCTGGGTCCCCACTTCCCTTTACGCACAGCCACTATGATTTCATCTGGTTTTATACGTTGGCTTTCTGCGTACAGTTTAGAAAAAAATGCTTTACAAACTCACAGGGCAGGATGAGTTTTAGGACCCGACTTTGACAGCTGCTGCTCTAAGTGATGCTTCCTGCCACCTTCGTTCCTCGGGGCCAGTGAGAAACTGGGGGAGGCCCCAGAGGCTCAGGGGGTTAACGCCTGGCCCTGGCTGGCATTGGAGCTCCAGGCCCCCATTCCCTCCTACCCCAGCACCAGCCCTGCTCTGAGCTGAGCAAACAGCTATTCTTGGAGCGGCTCTGGCAGAAGCAACAAAGGCATCCATTGTCCCCTGGAGATCCTGTTGGCTGCCTCCCTCCCCAGAAAGAACCAACCTCTCAGAGCTCATCCCCCAGAAACCCGAGAACCAGGGGCTGTGGGCACCTTGATTGTCCCTGGAGAAGGCAGGGAGGGGCCCAGGACAGTATCGAGGGACCGAGTGGGGAAGTTGGTGGCGGCCACGATCAGGTCACGATCTCACGGTTCATGAGCTCGAGCCCCACGTTGGGCTCTGCACTGACAGCATGCAACCTGCTTGGAATCTTCTCTCTCTCTCTGCCCACCCTCCGCCCTGCTTGTGCTCTCTCTCGCGCTCTCAAAATAAATAAATAAAATTTAAAAAACACTGCATTTCTTCCCCCCCCCCCGCAAATTTATGGAGGAACAACTGACAAATATAATTGTGCATATTTAAAGTGTCCGACATGATGATGTGCTACACATACACGTTGTGGAATGAAACTGCATGTCTTTCTTCTCTTTAAAAAAAAAATTTGTTTAATGTTTATTCATTTTTGAGAGAGAGGGAGAACGTGAGCAGGGGAGGGGCAGAGAGAGAGAGAGACACAGAATCTGAAACAGGCTCCAGGCTCTGAGCTGCCAGCAGAGAGCTGGATGTGGGGCTTGAACTCATAGACTGTGAGACCATGACCTGAGCCGAAGTCCAACGCTCAACCGACTGAGCCGCTCGGGTGCCCCGTGTCTTTTCTTCGTTTCGTTATTCATTTAGTGGCAAACTAACAACGGTTATCTTCAAAAGTTATTACAGCAAAGGTGCTATCATTTCTCGAGGTGAATGGGAGACCGAGGATCACAGACCCTTCCCGCCTAAGAGGCATCCCTGGGGTATGTCACCAGCATTTGCAAAACCAGGACTAGGAAAGGGACAGGGGTCTGGGGACACACGCGTGGTCTTAAAACGGCGAACGTGTAGCCTGGAGACTGCCTTTCTAACAAGCTCCCACAGTTTGAGAAGCAACGAATTGGACACGGAGAGGAGGAAGACGAGCAGAGGATTCCCGGCAGCACGGGCGGCCTGGGTGGCGGTTGAAGCGGACGTTAGCCGAGCGCGTTGGAGAAACCAGGGAGAGCAGCGTGGCCGCGGTTTGTGAGCAAAGGGGAGGGGGTGGCGGGAGGAGAGGACCTAGCTCATGGCGAGGAGCTGGCCTTCCCCCTGCGTCCCCCCCCCGAGGGCACTGATGGCTTCTAGGCTTCGGTGACATGATCGTTTTTGCGCTGTAGACAGATGGCCCAGGGTGCGGGGTGGGGAATGCGTTTCAGGAGAGCAACAGCGCAAGGTGGGGGGGGGGGGGGGTTCAGTGAAGTGAGTGCCGCTGTCCGGGTGAGTCAGGATGGCGGTGTGGGACAAGGTGATGGCCGTGGGAATGGAGAGTCATGGCTGGTGTCACACAAAGGAGCTTTGAGCAAGACTGGAATGCGGTGTCAGGTGTGCAAGAGGGAGGTTGGCTGAGCCCGGCCCAAGGGAATGGACTGCGGAGACCTAACGTGCCCGGCCCCGCGAAGGTTTTAGGGCCTCCGAGGAACCAGTCGGTTTCTCCGATCTTCGCTCAGTCAGAGGGAAGGGTCACCAGCTTGGCCTCGTGGGGCTGGGGTGCCCACTCGGCCCCAGGCGTGAGGGCACGGCGTGCCCGCTCCTAGCTGGCATCTGGAACTCTCGGCTTATCCACCTGTCCCGGGCCTCGTTAACACCAGGCGGGGATCACCCCCACAGGGAGCCCAGCTCCTGGCGGTCTGAGTGCAACATCCTGCCCTCGGGTCTCTGCAGGATGTGAGGGGGTTCGTGGGTGCCAGCTTGGCAGGCAACGCCACGGCGAGCACCCTCCAGACGGGAGGAAGGCAAAGCCTCTAGCTGGCGTGATGGGGGCTGGGGACGGGGATGGGTCTCTCTTCAGCCACCCCCTTCTCTGCCTGGTGACCTCAGCAGCCTCTCTCAGTAGGCACTGGT